GCTGCTCCTACGATGCTGCTTGGCCTGCTGTGTTCATCCAGCCCTGCACCTTGTTGTCTCGGATTCTCCAGCATCTGCAGTTCCTACTATCTCTGATTCAACATATGTAATAACTTTTGTACGGCATAAAGAGATTACTGTGAAAATCCTTATGCTGCAGATTCTCAATGCTCCATTACAGGCCATGATCTGGATTAGAATGTGCACCTACCTGCTGAAATCAGGAATTAGTGAATTCAATTTATCTGGCGACAAGATCCTTTATTAGTTCATCTTACTGTCAAGAAACCTCATAAAACATTTGTTTGGTGAGGTATAATTGTTCACAGTGATGAATAACAATTGTTGCCAAATAGCTAGCCTGGTTTTGAAAAAGTGTGGAATGCTAATAACCAATTATGTTTATTTTAGAAAAAAATTGAAAGTTGTTTTAGGTTCCACCCGTACATGTCATGCCCCAATATTTACTTCATATTTTGTTTTTTAAGCAATTTGATTACTAGTGTATCTCATTTATTGGTTTCCTGTCTAAGAATATATACTGTTTGGTCAGTTTGACAATATCAGAGTGTCAGGAATCATCATGAAATTACATTGCAACTAATTGTACATCAATCCTGCCAAAGTTCTTCCCACTGAAATCACTAGGTCTTTCGGCACAGTCTTCTTAAGAGGCCAACAATGTGCACCCTTGTTTTGTTATTGACCACAAAACCTAGGCTAAGATCTTGAATGAGTGAATTTTCTACTTGTCTAATTTTTAAAGATATGAATGGGGAAATCTAAATTAAGTCAGCTGCACACATTTACCTTATCATAAGGCAAGAGTCCTCTCAGAGGAAAGCGAAGCGTTGTTGGATCCAGCTTCCAAGAATTACAAATTGCACCAGAATTGTTCACTACTGGTAAAAGACTGCAGCGTCCTGAACATTAACACAGAAAAAGAAAAGCAACGGTGGTCAAAATTATCATTTAATTTTTACATTATTCATACCATACAAATAATTTCAGTTTTTAAACAATGAAGGAACACGAGGTTAAATGGTGACAATATTCAATTCTAAAATTTAGAGTCCAGTAGTTTTAAAACAAGTTATTTTAAATTCGGACAAGGCACCATTTTTTCTCAAAAATCTAATGAAATTCAATGCAGTGAAAGAGCAAGTATATATGTAACTAATCAATAAGATTGTTATTCTTTGCTGATTTAGTAAAAGCATTTAATGACAATTTACATTTAAGATAGAAAAATGTTCCAAAGCAAAGACATTACAAAAAACGATACCGTATCTAAGAGCAGAGATTAGAAATAATGAACTGCAAATGCTGAAGATCTGAAACAAACAAAAACAGAAACTGCTGGTGAGATTACAAGTTTAGTGAAAGATGTGAATTAAGGGGAATAGGACTGTATAGTGTCCTAAAGGAGACAGGGGAGTAGAAGATGTCAGAAGAGGATATTTCAGAAATATCTAAGTAGCTGAAAGTGATAGCTTCTACGATAAAGTAATACACTGATGGGCAGAGTAATGGGAATGAAATACTCAACAGGGCGGGGAGGATGGTAGTTAGAGATAGGGAACTATATTTAAACATCAAGGAGAATTTTAAATGAGGTGTTCGGTGATTGGAAGTCTATATACCATCGTGATTAAATTTCAAATGCACATCATTGGCTGTAAAGCACTTTGGGATCCCTGAGATTGTGAAAGTCAGCATTTAAAAGCAAAGTTTTTTTTACATATAAGTCAGTGAGCACAATGGGTGAATGTGGCCTATAACAACAATAGATACAAGAGCTCTGAAGAAGGGTCACTGGAACAGATATGTTAATTCTGCTTTCTCTCCACAGACACTGCCAGACCTGCTGAGTTTCTCCAGCAATTTCTGTTTTTGTTTCAGATTTCCAGCGTTTGCAGTTCTCTTTTTTCACAAGAAGCTGTTTTGGTTAAATTGGAAGCTCACGGACAATAGGAGGTTGGCCAAAAGAACAGGAGAATACATGAGGCATGGATAAGGATTTCAGTGGCAGACAAACTGAGGTTGGAGATCTGAACAGCAATGTTCCAAACTACCCTACTATATATCTTTTGTGATGTAAAGCTCAGAATCTTAGTTCAGAGTCAAAAAGACCTAGAGTGCAAATAATCTAGTGCAATCTGAGATAGTGACAGAGGAAGGGAAATAAGACATCAAAATAGTGTCTTAATTATTCCAATCAAATGCGGGTCAAATTAATTTCTCACCAACAATTTTGTTCCAACTGAAATCTAGGTCTTGGCTCAAGAACGGAACAGCATTTTGAAATGATTACTTTAGTTCAAATTTCCTCAAGTCAAATCATGTAACATTAAGTTTTAATACACATCAAATTCCCATCCTGCAGCATTATGTACATTACCAAATTTAAATTACTCCATAACTACAATTCATTAAACATTAAAATAATGATCAGTAGATTACATACAGAGAGAAAAATGATTAAAGTAGTTAAACCATCATTCCCAGAAGGTTATTATGTTTTTCTTTTTTAATGGAGTCCACGATCCTGGCAAAAACCTGTTTTTTCTACCCCTCTACTTGCTCAATTTTTGATATTTCACTTCTCCTTCGCTATTTTTCTACAAGTGCTCATGCAATCTCTGTGTTAGGCACATCTTCTAATCCTATAGTTTTACTTAGTAATGCTTCTTGTCCGACACAGTTATCACTTCGCTATGTTAACCACAACGATCTTCCATTGAATCAAGGGATTTTCATATTCTTTTCTCCTCAACCCATTTTCCCTGGCTCTATTGCTCCTCATAAGCTACCGAATTGTAACAAATCCCAGTATTGACATTACAACATCGACTCACATGTCAAATTTACTTTCCTTGCCATAGACAATGTCATAACTGTTGAATCTTTTCTGTGATTTCTGTTTTAACTTTAAGATCAGAGAGTAAAACCATGACATTTGCTTGTCAGATGCTGACTAATATGCTGCAAAATTCTATTTTCTTTCAGATTCCCAGTATTTTTCTTGTACTAGTAAAGCTTTAAATTGCTTAGCGGGTTGTTAATGAAAAAAAAAAATCACAATATTTGAGAGAGACCTGACTGACCGCAGTAAAATTAGTGAAGTATTCTGGGGGTGGTTTGAGAGTACGCAAGCATTATATGGATTTGCTTAGGCAAAATGGCTAAATTTTCCCCTTTTCTTACTGAAGGTACGTATTCGTATATAGCATGTCAGCCAATGCCCATGCATCAATCCTGTATTCAAACAATCATAACTAATCCTTCAATGCTTATATCTCAATAACTGGAGTTAAAACTGGGACATTTTATGTCAGCACTTAAATGCACAATATAAATCTTAAAATACCATGCACAAAAAAGGGCATAGGCAAATATTGTGGATATACAATAAGGCTCTGATGAAAAGTTGACCTGAAACACTGATGCTCTCTCAATGGAGGCCTCATGATCTGTTGAATGCTTCCAAAATTAACTGTTTTAACTTCATATTTCCAACATCAGTAGCATCTTGTACAGAAGGGAATGTCAGTTTCAATGTGAATAACTCAAGTAAGTAAGGTTTCTAAACCCTACTTATGGGAACTAATCAAATACTTCACTATAAATCAGGAAGGAAGCGACTTTCAATCTTCACTGATTTGAACTTGAAGTTGTAAAATTGAAGACAGACATCAGGTTTCATCACTTGAGATTTAAAGCATTTATAAGTCCAGAGAGAAACTTTGCATTCTTACCACAGATAGAGTTTATTCGTGCAGTAGGTCTAAAGCTGTCGACAAAATCAGATGCAAGATTGCCTAGTAACTGAAAGTAAAATCCCAAAACAAGAACTTTTTAGGTAAAATAGACAAACAGAAAATATCTGTTAAAGTTTACAGGAATTAAAGCAGTTTGCTAAAACACAGTTCAGTTACCAGATAGTTACAAAACAAAAGCGACTTGCACAGCAGATGTGGGCTTTTGTACAAGATGTCTATATTTAGACCAAAATAGGATGATAGAAGTTGGTGCACATGTGCTATTTCATAGGTCAGTACCTACACCTGAAACTAAGTGCACTAATTCAGGTCATTTAATTGTATCCTTAAATTCAAAATCTGTCAACACTTCAAAATGTTTCCTTTTAATTTAACAAATATTATTTTAAAACAAAATGCATTTTCATTCCAAGTAGAGTTTTAAAAGTATGTATCACGTAAGAATCACACTTGATAATTTCGCTGCTCTATTCTTGGAATATGCTTGGAAAGCTGATAACCTTACATCTGTCAACTATTCAAATGAATTTACAAACACGACATTCCGTTTAATAAAAAAAAGTATTTTGAAATATTATTTCATTTCCCAGTGAGTTTTAACGCTCAATTTATGCCGAGTTATTGCATTTACCTGAAAATTAACATTCTGTGTTTAATCGTACAAGTATCAAGCTGATGATATGACAAAGGACATCACGAGATTTTGTTCTTGGTACACAGAACAAGATTATTCCCCTGCAGACTGCCCTGACTAGAATCAGCATTTTTTTTATGGCTCACTTTTTGTACTCAGTCATATTATGCCAAATCTGCCAAACCTGCCAAACACTGGGAGGTCAATTATTTCCAAAGTTGAAGGTCATCATTGTTATTTAAAGGAGCTTTTTAGGTGATGGACAAAGTCAACACTTGTCACAAGACATGGGAGTTTGAGGAAAATTAACCAGCTGGACAAAATCAAACAGGATCAGGCCAAACAGTATTTCATTATACCAAATAGATAGCAAATTATGCATGGCATGATAAGGTTCCCCCCCATCCTGATAAACCACAAGTGAAGCTGCATACTGCAAGGTTCACATGCATTCCCATCTGTAGGACACATATTATTACTGTTTTTTGAAATACAACTGTTGTTGGATTATCTGCATCACCATAAATGTTAATTTACCCACAGAAGTCATGATGTAGAGTGGATACTCGGGTCTCAATTATTATGCTCTCTTTAACATCAGTTTTTCATGAAACCTGCAGCATTGACTCCATTCTTGGCAAATATCATTGCAGGTATATCTGAGAGATTTTGGTGGCAAGTTTAAGATGCGCCCACTCAGTGACACTAGGAAGTATAAATGAAGAGAAGTAGATAGTAGTGGTAAAGAAGTAAACTTATGGTTGCAGAATTAGTCTGTTTTCTGGAAGTAAGGAGAGGCACAAATATTCGGATATCATGAGGTCTATATTTAAAAGAAGGATATTTTGAAGAGTGATAAATGCGATGTGGTAAATTTTAATAGAGGGCAAGGGAGAGGGATTCGGAGCTCAATTATTACTTGAAAGATTAAATTCTAGATTGGGTTGAAGAAGAAAATAATCTCGGAGTATAAACACAAATTTTTAAAATTGTGCCACAACAACGTTGCAAGGCCATTAAAAAAAAACAAAGCAAGCATTTAGCTTCATTTCTAGAAGGAAGGAATTGGCTTTAGAATTTCTAGAGGGGTAGAACTGAAAATTGTGCACCTTGTATGAAATCTGTACAAAACATTGGTTAAACCACACACTGCTGGTCAGTATATTCTATCAAGAATTAGAGGCACAGGAGAGGGTGCAAAGAAGATGGCACTTGGCATCTTATACATATAAGGAAATGATTGACAGACTGGATCACTTTTACCTTGAAAAATGTAGTTTTAAGACCTGACCAAACAAAGGTATTTAAAATTATGGCAGGTTTTGATAAGAGCATATACAGAGAAAATATGTTTTCTTGTGAGGAAGTGTATAACTACATTCAATGTGAAACAATCACCAAGTGAGATAGGGGTTTCAGAAAAAAAACTTTTTGATCCAAAGCATTGACAGAATGTGCTCCTCTGTCAGATTGAAGTAATAGTACCGATGCACTTAACGGGAAGCTAGACAAACTCATGTGGGAGACGGCGATAAGAGACTATGATGATAGGCTTGAATGGGGCATAAATGCTAGGATGGACTGGTTAGGCTGAATGGCTTCATATGACTAATCAAAGCAAATATCTTTCCTTCTATAAAATTAATGGTTACCACAGAAAATATCAAGTGCATTCTTTTCCTGTCAGTTTCATCTATTAAATGGAACACATATCTCTTACTGACAAGGTTCTTGCACCAATAAATGTGAAGATTATCCTCTGGTTTCTCTTCTTTCCAGAGAAAAAGAACAGCAATGGTCTCTTACCCAATGAGACAATTTCCCTTCAGGATAAAGCTTCCTAATCTCAGTAACTGCAAAATATGCTGGTAACAGACAAGCATTTCTGTCCAAGATGTATGCCACAACCTGGAAAGAGTAAAGCAAGGAACCTTTGTTTAGATTAGATCAACTTAAAACAAAAATCTTCTTCAGCACAATAGTCAAAAACTGTTTGAAAAAGACCAATTCTACTTATTTATAAAAATATTAACTAAAAGAATGTACTGCTAATTTTGCACATCGGGAAAAATGTCTGGGTTTGTAATGTAAGCAAGGAACTTGGTTCAAAGAAAAAACAGATTGGAGAGTTGGTTCTATCGGGTTAAGAACCCTATTTCAGACCCAGGTTCTCTTCAAGCTCAGTTCCCAATGAACTGTGCAACATTGACGAATTTACATCCCAATTTGTTTTCTAGACTAATAAAAGTGAACATCCTCCTTTCCACAAAATTATTGCCAACTATGTAAAACATCATATGCATGATTTTCCTGCAAGTACAGCTGGAAGCAATTTTTAAGATCAAATACTGTAAAACATCACTAGAAACTTACATCTTTAGCTGTTTGTAGCTGCTGTACAACAGCAGAACTGACTGTGTTAGGGATAGTTTGAATCTTCTCTAGAATTGCTTTCAACAGGTCTCTTACACCCTAGAACGAAAGAGTAAATTGGAAGTTACAAGCTGATCAACAAATACTCCTTAAAATGCACTAACTCTATGCCCCAATAAGCTTCTTAAAATAGCAAAGCTCACATAAACGTTAGTTAAGGCACCAAAAAACTATAATTTGTGTAGTTGCCCAAGAAACCTACAGGTATTTCTTTGTCCATTCAAATAAAATGAAATATCATAAGCAACATTTATTAGTCTGGAACTTGCTGTCAGTAGTGAGACAACAGCATTCACCACTGGCCTTGGAAAAAGCTGCCAACAAAGATCTAATCATTTCTCTACTGTATTTTTATCCCCCTGTCCCAACAGCAGTTTAAAGCTGGTGCTGTAAAGGGATGTAACAGCTGTCAGCATGCAGATTAGCAGGCAGTCATGCTGAAAAATTCACGCAAAGCAAACCAGGAAGTTAAAATTACTTAATATGCTTCATTTTTAATTTAAAATTAAAAGCAAAATAAGTTATGATTGGATTAAGATAGAAACTAAATTAAGACAAAATTAATAAAATTCCACATTTGATTTTATTTTGTTATGCAGGGATTTGACTTTCCCCAAACACAAAACTGGCTATTTGTGCCTCAGTCTTTTTTTAAAGCAGTAATTACGAAGCTAGAACATAATAAAAAAAGTCTAGTTGCCCTTCATTCAATGGGGCACAAAATTTTTTCATGATTATTTCAAGATTAACAGATTAAGCAGAAATTCTGTCAATGCATAGATTTCCTGGTGATTTCAGGCATAGGGGATTTGCAAAATGCAGCCTCTGGAAATACGTGACAATCACGGACAGCGACCTCGTGAATTACACATTCAGACTCCAGAAGCTGTCAGTTTCAGTGGAGTAATGGCAATCAATGTTGATAATTTCTTCATCACTACTACCACAAAACCTAAGCCATTACCACCTCATAAAAGTGAATTACAAATCCTCCTGTTTATAACGGCAAGGCAACTTAAATCAGTTTTTTGTACAGTACCTTGTAGTCAACGCCACCTATTATTTTTCGAATGAGTTTAAACGTTAGAGCCCAAAGTTGCATTCTTTCCCATTCCAGACTTTCAGAGTTAATTAAAGACTCGCAGACCAGTCTGCGAAACAAATACAGAATAACCCTTTGGAATGTTATATTCAAAATGACACCGTCCATAACTTACATAAAGCACAGAACTATTGTTATTACACAAATCTGAACTACTAAATACAGATTACAGTACTTCAGATTTTGCTTATAGTCAAAATACTATGCAAAACAAGTTTCAAGGAATACGATCACAGATATGTGGTGAAGTTCACTTCTAATGATCACATTGTCATCAAACAAATGAATCAAATCCCTTATCTAACAACGTAACATCTTATTTCACCTCTGAAGCTCTATTCAGTTAGTGCTGGAAAACAAGAAACCATTCTAAGGGGGAAATTAGAAAGAATGCCTAAAGATGAACAAACTTTGGAGACAAAGTCATTGCCAGCGTAGCATGTTTTTAACTAACTACAGGACAGAGTACAAAGTTGACTGTAAACATTGTGGCTGCATTTGAATTTACCTGTTTGGCATTCTTCCTTCTTGACTAATTCATCATTCCTTCAGAGAATTTTATCTCTTCATAAGAAAGCATTTTCAGATGGTACACCAGAAATAAAGTTGCAATTGGAACGGCTTATCAGAAATTAGAAAACAGCTGTTGCACTGCTCCAAGTGTCAGTATCTCTCATAACAGTACAAACCAAAACAGTAACATCAAATGCTCAGCTTTGCATCCTAGACACTCTAATGGTATTTTAATGTCCGTCAAATAGATATGATGAAATATATTCCACCACCAAGATAATACTGGAAAATGCCATTAGAGGACTTTAATCTGGATTCCATTTAAAGATAATTTACAGAATGAAAAGGACAACTTGGTGCAAAAAACCTCATTGCCAGATGGGAGCACAACAAAGGCCACAGTTGCTCAGATTTAAAATGAGTGAAGAAAATGAAAGTGGAACTTATGAAGGAAGCAAGTAATATATTTAAAGCTACTGTGCAATATAGCAATTGAATTTTTAAACATGCAATATTACATATAAAGCTCTATATTCCACTTTAAAGCAATCATGTTACTACAGTGTCTTTTTAAAAATATTGTTTTTTTTGTCAGCTGTACCTGGGTGGTAGCAACCCACTTTCAACTGCCATAGCCAAGCAGTCATACAGAAAGGAAATCCTCTTGGGGTTGTGCTGTCCATGAATGAAACGAACAATCCACTGCACACACTGCTCATGGGATTCCTGATGTTCAAAAAATATGTATCAATATACATTATACTACTTATAAAGTTTGCAAAAAGCTAGCCAGATCTGGAAATATACTTCAGACAACTGCTAGTAAATAGATTCTAACCTGAGGAAGATTTGTCCAGAGTTGCCTGAAAGCTCCAAGGCAACTAATCAGCTTGGTTTTCTCATCTTCAGCTGTGTCCATAAACATACTGTGAAAGATAAATAAAATAGTAGGTTAATTTCAAATGTTCTTAAGGTACATTCATATAGAAAGCTTCAGCAAAAGATAATAAAAGTAAATAAGTGTTAGTGCCCAAAATCTATGCCGAAGAAAATATTTGAGAACAATTCTTCAAATATTTAACTGCCCAAATAGTTAAACATTACAAAAACAAAATTGCACCTTGCAATGTAGAGAAAAACTTCTTGAAATATGCTGTCATCCTCCCTAAAGAATCATGGAAACACTGAACAGTAGCAAAAAAGAAATTTAGGCAATAACCAACACGTGTTTTGGCTTAAAGAATGATTTGTAATTATAATGCATTCAACGTCCACCAGTTATCTCAAGGACTTTATATCCAAACAAGTACAATTAATTCCTCGATAAGACAGTTATCCGGCTATATTCTTCAAACACTCATCAGATTAGAGTCAGAGGCCTTTCAGCCCATCAAGTCTACTTCAGTCAAAACAACCACCTAACTAATCACCTAACATTTTCCAGCACATGGCCAAAGCCTTATATGCCTTGGCATCACATATGGACCTTAAATACCTAAGGTTTGAGGGCTTCTACCTCGATCACCTTTACAGGTACTGATTTCCAGATTGCCACGAATCACTGGGTTAAAATAAAAAATATTTTCTCACATTGCCTCTAAACCTCCTGCCCCTTACCTTAAATCTATGCCTCCTGGTCCTCAATTCCTCCACCAAAGGCAGATGTTTCTTTCTGATTACTCTGTCTATGCCCTTCATTATTTTATACATCTTAATCATGTCCCTCCTCAGTCTCCTTTGCTCCAAGAAAAACAATCCCAGTCTATCCAATCTCTCTTCAAAACAAACTCTCCAATCCAGGCAACATCCTGGTAACTCTCCGCTGGTTCACATATTTAGACAGTTTTATAACATGTTGAAATGCAAATAATAGCATAGCGGTATAACAGTACAGTGGTTTACCTCTGTGCATGGAAATTAATCTCGAGACTCCATATTGCAAAGTTAAATAGTTCACAAAAAAAAAACTGAAATTTGGTCGAGAGGTTGAGAGAGATGGTGATTAAGTAGAGCTGGATGTCTTGGAAAGTCGACTATATGCACGGATGCTGTCAATGAGGAATGTGACACAATTTAAATGTCACTCCACTTCAGGATGTCAACATAGTAATTGAAAATAAAATAGAAAATGACAAGAGGCTTATCAGAAGGAAATAGGCATTCCATAAAAGGAAAAAAAAAGTAGATGCTGACTGTTGATTCACCAGAAGAGTCCAATAGATGGAAAGCAACATTTCTTTCAATATCTCCATGGTGCATGGGGCTTTTGCCCTCTACTGCATGGTTCCTTTAAGGTTTTCACTTCACTACATATCTTAAAAGGGGCTGTAACTTGGGCACTACCTGCCGTCCCTGCAAGACACCATATTGCTATGTTTCCATACATTTGTGACATTTAGAGGGAATGTTGGTGGGAAATGTGGAATGAGAAGAGGAACAAAGAGATTAACCCTATACTGATGTTGGTGAGGTTAGTAAGACACACTAAGCGTTAACATTTGATTTAATGAGCCCTTTAGAAAATATTGAGAAATGCAGAAGTAGGAGTTATGTACATACTTAAAGCTTGAGACAGCTACAGAAAAGACTGAACATAATGAATGGTGACGAAACAAGGGCACGGATTCCACAATCAAGTACCAAGATTGTAGAATTAAAAGATAGTGGATCTACGTTAACAGAAAGGGAATAAAGCAGGGCCTGATGGGAGCCAAAATTAAGAGCTCAGATTAATGGGTCAAACTCCAAAGCAGCTGACAAAGCACTGATGCTTTAGTGAGTAATGGAGTTCAACGTGGAGGGGAGGGAGGGGAACCTTTGTTTTTCTAACTTTGTCAGCCGCTTAAGGCAGTAAAGTCGTAAAACTGCATGAGAATGGACAGCCAGCCTGCTGAGGTTCAGCTCTGTGCTTCAACAGCTGGTCGGTGAGTAACTGATAAGTTATTCTACTTTTCCGAGATTTTTCAAGTTACAGTGTGGTAAGCATACTCAGCCAAATGTAATTTACTCTTTCCATTATGTGGGACATTATGTACACACTTTGCAGTCTAGATGAACACATCTGCAGGAAGTATCAGTGGTTGTATAAGCTGGAGCTCCAGGATTCCGAACTACAGAGGGTGATAAAAATATAGCTGTGCATCTGTGACACTGCTACGTGAACAGCTCATGTGGCCTCATACAGGTTAGGAGTGCACAGGCAGCTAGCAAGTGGGTAGCCACCAACAGTATAACAGCATATCCTGCTTGCTAATTAGTTTTCCAATTACGATACTGGTGAAGATAATGGTTTCTCAGGGCCAATGTCAAGTCCTTGACTCCACAAGCAACTCAGTCATACAGGAGACTAAAACAGCAATGGTGGTAGTGGACTTCATACACAGGGGATCTGACAGGCACTTCTGCAGCAGTAAACGTGAGTCCAGGATATGGTGCTGCCTAACATAAAGGCAAAGAAATTCAGCAAGTATCCTGCAGCTGGGAAGAGAGAAACAGTTAACATGAAGTCTGGTTTGACTCTTTGGATTTCAGAAGAAGAGACATACTGGACTCAAAACTTTAATTCTATTTCTCTTTCCACAGATGCTGCCAGACCTGATTTTCTCCAGCACTTTTTTTTATTATTTCAGATTTCCAGATCCGTAGCATTTTTATTTTATTATGGTGTGCTGCCTCTCATGGTCTGCATTGCAGTAATCACAGGAGTCCTTCCGGTGTCCTGTGCTAGTGAGCATAACAGGAGATTCTGAAGAACAGTCACTGGAGTCAAAACATTAACTCTGCTTTCTCTCCATGGATGCTGCCAGTCCTGCTGAGTTTCTCCAAAAATTTCTGTTTTTGTCTCAGATCTATAGCACCCACTGTTCTTTATTTTATTATACAATAGGAAGATGGATTGATTGAACACAAGGCTGGAGAATACGGAGGCATGGGATTGAGGGTGATTTAGCAATTTGGATCAGAAATTGGCTAGCTGTAAGAAGACAGAGGGTGGTGGTTGATGGGAAATGTTCATCCTGGAGTTCAGTTACTAGTGGTGTACCTCAAGGATCTGTTTTGGGGCCACTGCTGTTTGTCATTTTTATAAATGACCTGGATGAGGGCGTAGAAGGATGGGTTAGTAAATTTGCGGATGACACCAAAGTTGGTGGAGTTGTGGATAGTGCGGAAGGATATTGCAGGTTACAGAGGGACATAGATAAGCTGCAGAGCTGGGCTGAGAGGTGGCAAATGGAGTTTAATGCGGAAAAGTGTGAGGTGATTCACTTTGGAAGGAGTAACAGGAATACAGAGTACTGGGCTAATGGTAAGATTCTTGGTAGTGTGGATGAGCAGAGAGATCTCGGTGTCCATGTGCATAGATCACTGAAAGTTGCCACCCAGGTTGATAGCGTTGTTAAGAAGGCGTACAGTATGTTAGGTTTTATTGGTAGAGGGATTGAGTTTCGGAGCCATGAGGTCATGTTGCAGCTGTACAAAACTCTGGTGCGGCCGCACTTGGAGTATTGCGTACAGTTCTGGTCACCGCATTATAGGAAGGATGTGGAAGCATTGGAAAGGGTGCAGAGGAGATTTACCAGGATGTTGCCTGGTATGGAGGGAAGGTCTTATGAGGAAAGGCTGAGGGTTTTGAGGCTGTTTTCGTTAGAGAGAAGAAGGTTAAGAGGTGACTTGATAGAGACATACAAGATGATCAGAGGATTAGATAGGGTGGACAGTGGGAGCCTTTTTCCTCGGATGGTGATGGCTAGCACGAGGGGACATAGCTTTAAATTGAGGGGTGATAGATATAGGACAGATGTCAGAGGTAGGTTCTTTACTCAGAGAGTAGTAAGGGCGTGGAATGCCCTGCCTGCAAAAATAGTAGACTCGCCAACTTTAAGGGCATTTAAATGGTCATTGGATAAACATATGGATGATAATGGAATAGTTTAGGTTAGATGGGCTTCAGATTGGTTTCACAGGTCGGCGCAACATCGAGGGCCGAAGGGCCTGTACTGCGCTGTAATGTTCTATGTTCTATGTTCT